AATAAGCATTCTTTTATGTTTGTATATTATTTATATATGATCTATCTTTACATATTTATAGAAGATAACAGCAGTTATTTTGGGTCACTACTAGGCAAACTTACATGATTTCCCCTAACAGCTTGTAAACCACAGTCACTGACCATGTGGAAATTTATACCCACAAAACAAATGGCTGGGTTCAGAAACTGCTTCTTTTGGGGAGAGTGTGTGCAGGGACCTGGGACAGCATTTGACACTGGCAGACAAAACAACAGAACCCAACAACAGTTTTTAACAACCGCAGACTCCCTTGTTTGCAGACCAGCACACCTCCACACAGGGAAAAAAACTGCTTTAAAATGCTGCTACCTCTAGCATTAAAGACAAGGGTCAGCAATCAGGAACCCAATTACAGCATGGTGTCTGGCTGTTAACCATTTCACAGCTTTTCACTGGAGCCTTCCCTTTAAGATGGATTTCTAACCCATCACTTCTTCCAGTTAGTTTTATTCTGTTTGTTATACCAACCAGCAATCTTTAAGGCAAGATGGGTTAATACACAGTTAAGTACCACAGATCATTTAGAGACTGCTTCTGGCAGGGAAAATAAAGAATTTCCATGTAAACCACTAGATGATCAGTGGGTTTTCTTTTCTCCAGACTTAACCTATGACAGCATAGCCACTGAAATTTGAAATTAAATTCAGTTGCCACTGGTTTGACACAACTTTTGAATAAAACTGCGGTAGTAATGATATCATGGGTACTTTTCTTGTATTTTTTTTTTTAAGATGCAGCTGTTCATAGGCAAAGGAACTAAACAATAAAGCTTTCAAATTATAGCACTGGTGATTCAAGAAAAGAAAACTACTTACCTAGTCCAGTTGCCAAAGCTAAGCAACATGTATGTCTGGATGTTTGCCCACTGCTATTATATTTATGGTCCTGCTTTTAAAAACATTGGAGGGCTTTTTTATTTTTGCCTGATTGTCCACACTGGCCAGAGACACTCACTTTACTGAAGATCAAAGGAAAAAAGGGCAGACTATACAAAAAAGGGTGGGAAAATTAATTAAATAAACAAAGCTGAAGAGAAAAAGGAAGAGGCATCTCTTCCCCTCCTTCTCTCTTCCAGTTACCTTAGGTACCATTTACAAACGACATGTAAAATACTTCAGATATAGTGACTGTTTTTAGAAAATTACTTTGAACTCTTACAGTAGAAATAAAAACTTGTAGAAGGTCACAGCGCTCATGCTATGAATACCATCAATCTAATCCTCTGATTTTGCACTTAAAAGTTTTGTTCCTGTAAGTCTCCACAGGACTAAATCCCTAAGATGACTGGACTCATGTGATGTCTGAGCTAACATCAGTCAGGTGAACAAAAGTTTCTGGATCCTGCCTGTTGCTAAATAATAAATAAGAAAAGGGAATATGAAGGAACCTTCCAGCAAGGGCTGTGATAAAAGTTGACAGACCAGAAAAATGTGGAAAACACTTGTAATTGAGAAGAGCCCCCAGATGATGCAAAATAACTTACTTCCATGGCTGACTGATATGTGTGCAAAGAAGAGGTACACAAAGCTCAAACTGAACTCAAGATCTGGGATGGGTCCTTTTTACCATATCCTTTTCAGAAGAAAACACAATACTGGAAGCTATCTACTTATATCCCATCCACATATGTATGCCTGAGGCTAAACTACAATACATTCTCACGATGCTGAAGGCATCTATTATTTTATTTGTTTCCATTTTGACTGCTTTAGTTTGGACAGTCAAATGGACAAGACCTTTTATTTACTTCAGGGCCCAGAATTACCAAACCAGAAAAACACAGACAATCAGTGGCCAGCCAAGGGTCTCATTACAGAATCTGTGTAGTGTACTTGTTACCATGGAAACAAGAGAGGGCTGGCATGCTGTAATTTCTGTCTTGCAAGAGAATTCACCAACCCTGCCAGTAAATAAAGTTCATAAATCAACAAATCAGAGCCAAGGTCAAGTACGTGAAGATGAAGCAGTTGTGCTCCACAGGTCGTCTTCATTACTAATACTACTAAGGTATAAGTCTTTCAAGTTCCTTTGAGCTTATGCAGCTCCATCATGGAAACATTTGACTCAAACTAACAGTCCTTCTTGAATATTTTTCACAGAAAAGGAACCAGAAAAGCCACTAAAAATTTGCACTGTAAGTCACTAACCTTCATTCCCTCCATTTTACTTTGGAGAAAGGTGTACAGCAATAACCTTTGAAAGCAGAGCCTTATGTTCAGCTAGTTACACTTGAATTACCAGATGCATAACAATCCTCAGGAGGACTAATTGCCATATAAGTTTCTGTGAAGTGCCTTACAAGCAAACAGTAGTTAGTTTTCACACCACCGTGGATGGGTTATCTCTCCCAGGGTGCAGATGTGGAAAAACAGTGGCACCGTGGAAATGAGCGCCAAGGCTGGCATTACAGGTCTGCCCGCACTTAAGACCTTCAGACCTCTTCTGTCTGCATTTTGTAACTAACAGGGAAAAGAAGCAGAGAGGCATAAGGTCCAGAGACTGAAAATACCAGAAGGTGGTATTGCTTGAAACTGAGAGTCTCTGTTGAGCTCCAGTGGGTGGAGACACACAACATCCCAGTCAAACTGGCATCAGGTAAGGTTCAGTTGCCACTTAATGAAAGTACACCTGGTGAACTGATAAAGAAGCAAGCCACTAACACTTTGGGAACTTGGTGACTTTATCACAGCATGAACGAAACAGAATTATACTGTACTTTTGAAATTTTCAGTAACTTCAGTTATAGGAGGCTTCCTGGTATAGTTTAGGGACTACCAGTGCAAAAATGTATCAATACATGAGCAATATCAGTATCTACTTAAAAAAACAAACCAAAACATCAGCTCCCTAACAATGACTAGAAGTAGTACTTGAGCTGTTACAGTTTCTCCACAAGTTTTAGTTACCTCCTGGAAACCTAGCTATTTTAGCTGAAAACAAGGACCACCTGTGTTACACTTAAGATGCATTACCCACAATACCTGAAAGAGTAACTCAGCTGCACATCTCTCTCACATGCAAGATCAGTTATCCCCTGAACACTTTCAGTTAATACTTAGTTCACACAATATCTTGTTGCCAATTCTGATCTCTTTATTACTCCTCTGGGTGCAAGACTTTTAAACTATCAGGTTGGTTTGTTATTTTACCTGTAAACTATTTCGAAGAGCTGATAAACTGGAGCATAAGGTTGAAAAATCACATTTTGCTGAAAGCCACAGGGTAAGAGCACCTGTGGGTATCACTTAGCCAGGTCGCGTGCCAGGCTCAACACAGGACTGCAGGTAAGCACATGAACCATGTGACTTCCAACTTTGACTTTTGTCTGGCTTTAGAAGTGGGCAAAAATAGGTTTAGCCAACCCTGAAATGACATTTGAAAAACCAGCCTGAGACAACTGGTAGATCTGACCCCCAAGGCAATTTCACTCAGCTGCTGGTAATGCCAGTCAGTTGGAGGCAGCCTGAACCAATGCAGATGTGCTGTGGAGCAGGCATGCAGCCCCAGCATGGTGCTGGCTGGGGTTATTAGGTTAATTGCAGTACCACACGAGTACAGCCTTGTCCGTCTGAGCTCTGAATTATACAGAGGGAAACAGAAGCCGCCACAGGGAGGGGAAACAGGAACTGGTCACTCCTGACCTGCAAACACCTTTTGGGGTTACTTTGTTTAAAGAGGAAAAAAAGTTAAGAGAAACAAGCCTAGTCCCTGACCTGAAAAGTTGCCATCCAGAACACAGCAATGTAATTTGATTTATACAAACCCTCACTGCTGCTAGCAAGCACACTAAGGGCTTGGTCCCATTTCTCTTCAAATCAACAGAAAAAAGGAAAATCACTACTGTCCCTGGCAGTTCACCGTCAAGCTTTAGCATCTATTGCAGCTTTAGCATTGCAATGCTACTTGCAAAGGTTGTATTTCTGAGAACAGTGGAGGAATGGCAGAGAAGGCCGACAAAACCAAACTTTACACATTAACAATTCAAACACTGAAAGCCAGTCATATACGAGGAGTTCATTTTTTACCTGGTGTATTGTTTTGTTTCTATGACAGATAATCATTCACTGGAATGGAAACAGCCCTATTCTACATCTAGTACTACTGAATAACCAGCTATGTTCAGGGGATATTTATAACCATTAACACTGTAGATGGAAGGTGAGTTTTAAGGTATGTGACATAGTTATTCCTTTGGCTGGAAAGCAGCTCTGTTTCTGACAGCCAGAATTAAATTGTGGAAGGCTCAATATATCTCTCCACCGTTTTCACTCTTCTCCTTTGCACTAAACCATCTTTTCCAAGCTTCTTTCACAGTTTTCTGTCTTTCCCTGTCACTCCTGCCTCGTCTCGGTGACGAGCCAAGTTTGCGAGGGGCTGCCTTTCCCAGTGCACACCCCACTGCCTGCTCGGGCTGGGGGGAGAGAGAGGGCCCCCTCGGCGCTCCCGTGGGAGGTGCTGAACCCCCCGGGCGGGGCCCAGACCACACAGCCAGGCACTGCCTCTCTGCCCCGCGTTCCGTGGGGCCGCCAGACCCCAGGGCCCCCAAACCGCACACACCCCCCGCTGCCCCCCTCCCACCTCTATTTCAGCCCGGCGGCGGAGAGGGTCGCTTTTCTTCTTGCGAGAGGGCTGCAACGGCGGGGGGGGGTGAGGGGAGGGGGGTGTGGGAGGGCCACCCCGCTCCCTAAGTTGTGCCAAACGCCAACATCCCGCCCCCCCACCCGTGCAGCACGGGTGGTGCACAGCTACCCCTTCCGCCGCACTCTGCCCCGCGGAAAGGCCGGGGGGAAGGTGGGGTGCATCTGCCCGGGGAAGCTTCCCGGAGAGCCCTCCGCTGCGCACAAAGGGAGATACCGGGAATATCGCCCGCCCCCGCGGCGGGCAGCGCTGGAAGCACACGCACCCACGCAGACGCGCATACTCACACACTCGCGGGTGCAGCCGGGCGGGTCACGTACCTGCAGGTGCCTGTCTGTAGGAGCGCGAGTGGAGAAGGCTGCGCAATACCGCTTATATCGCATGGGGGGGTAATTACCGTGATTACCGTGATTACTGGGATATTGCTTGGGGCTGGGGAGGGAGGGCTCCTCTGCTCCCTCCGCCCTCTTCCTCCTCCTCCTCCGCCCCCTCCTGTGTGAGTGTGTGTGTGTGTGAGGGGGGGGGGAGGGGTTGGGGGTGTGCGGGGAGGGAGGGGTTGGGGGTGTGCGTGTGCGCGGCGGTTCTCCGCGCCGGCGGAGGCAGAGGCGGCCTCCGGCTCCTGTCAGCTACCGGAAACCGGCGCCTGGTCACACACACCGCAGGAAGTGTGCGATGGCACACCCGCACCCCGGCACCCCGCACCCCGGCACCCCGCACCCCGGAACCCCGGCACCACCGCACCCCGGCACCCGGCACCCCGCACCCCGGCACCCCGGCACCACCGCACCCCGGCACCCCGCACCGCGGCACCCCGGCACCCCCGCACCCCGGCACCCCGCACCCCGGCACCCCGGCACCCCGGCACCCCCGCACCCCGGCACCCCGCACCCCGGCACCACCGCACCCCGGCACCACCGCACCCCGGCACCCCGGCACCCCCGCACCCCGGCACCCCACACCCCGGCACCCCCGCACCCCGGCACCCCCGCACCCCGGCACCCCGCACCGCGGCACCCCGCACCGCGGCACCCCGGCACCCCCGCACCCCGGCACCCCGCACCCCGGAACCCCGGCACCACCGCACCCCGGCACCCCGCACCCCGGCACCCCGGCACCCCCGCACCCCGGCACCCCGGCACCCCGGCACCACCGCACCCCGGCACCCCGCACCGCGGCACCCCGGCACCCCGCACCCCGGCACCCCGCACCCCGGCACCACCGCACCCCGGCACCCCGCACCCCGGCACCCCGGCACCCCCGCACCCCGGCACCCCGCACCCCGGCACCCCGCACCCCGGCACCCCGGCACCCCCGCACCCCGGCACCACCGCACCCCGGCACCCCACACCCCGGCACCCCGCACCCCGGCACCACCGCACCCCGGCACCCCGCACCCCGGCACCCCGCACCGCGGCACCCCGGCACCCCCGCACCCCGGCACCCCGCACCCCGGCACCACCGCACCCCGGCACCCCGCACCCCGGCACCCCGGCACCCCCGCACCCCGGCACCCCCGCACCCCGGCACCCCGCACCGCGGCACCCCGCACCGCGGCACCCCGGCACCCCCGCACCCCGGCACCCCGCACCCCGGAACCCCGGCACCACCGCACCCCGGCACCCGGCACCCCCGCACCCCGGCACCCCGGCACCACCGCACCCCGGCACCCCGCACCGCGGCACCCCGGCACCCCGCACCCCGGCACCCCGCACCCCGGCACCACCGCACCCCGGCACCCCGCACCCCGGCACCCCGGCACCCCCGCACCCCGGCACCCCCACACCCCGGCACCCCCACACCCCGGCACCCCCGCACCCCGGCACCACCGCACCCCGGCACCCCGCACCCCGGAACCCCGGCACCACCGCACCCCGGCACCCGGCACCCCCGCACCCCGGCACCCCGGCACCACCGCACCCCGGCACCCCGCACCCCGGCACCCCGGCACCCCCGCACCCCGGCACCCCGCACCCCGGCACCACCGCACCCCGGCACCCCGCACCCCGGAACCCCGGCACCCCCGCACCCCGGCACCCCCACACACAAGCACCCCGCACACACGCACCCCAGCACCCCTGCACACACGCGCCCCGCACCCACGCACCCCGCATCCACGCATCGCCGCATCCCCGGACCCACGCACCCCCCGCACCCCGCGGCCGCCGAATGGGAGGGAAGGCTGGCTGGAAGAGCCACCGGTCCCTGCTGGCTTGGCACAGGGCACTGGAAAACAAACAAACAAACAAACAAACAAACAAAACAATAAAAACCAAACAAACAAAAAAACCACCACCACCACCAAAAAAAAAAAAAAACACAAAAAAAAACCAACACAAAACCCAACACGCCCCCCCAAATAGGGTTGCTTTATCTGCACTGCTGTGGCTGGGAGTGTTTACCTCGAGAAACCAGGAGAGAAGCGCGTGCAAGTGAAACCAGGGTTCTCTCACTAATCCCAAGGAACACATTATCAACTGACATAAAATAATGTGATTCTAACTGTTCAGATGGAGGCCTGTTGACTTACTCCAGCTGAGTTACTCATAGCTGTGTCCAAATGACTGCTACTCAGTTGTTTCGTGCAGATGGAGAGAGACTCAATTTACTGTTATTCCACCTTCTTGCCTGAGATTATAGGTACAGCACCATGTGTTTATTATGTGGAGTATGTACATACGCATGCATATATTTGCACCCTTTCCATGTCTGTATATAAGAATTGCAATTTATATGTTGTGAAAATTGCAACTTTCTTAATTTGTCTGCAACTACTGATCTCAACAGCAACATTACTTAATATTAGGATTTTTTTTGGAATCAATCATGAGAGCGCTCACCATGTGCTTGCAGCATTTTCTCTGGGTGTTGGTTCTCCCACAATAAGCAAGGCGCATGCCAAAGCAAACTCTGCTCATCTCCTCAGTTGGGCTCTTTTTCCCTGCCTTGTTGCATCACTCCAGAAGGAGGCAGGCCTGGCTGCTGCTGAGAGAGTATCAGCCTTCCAAGCCGGCTGCTTCATGCCCCAGAGGTTTCCTTTCCTCATCTTCCTTATGCCAACATTTGCAAAACTTGAATGGGCTAACACATGCTACTAGCTACGATGGCAACAATGCTTACGCAAGAGTATAATGGAGGCAATCTGGAAGTGTATTCGTGCCAAAAGTAGTGCTCTTTCCGGATTTGCCTGTGATGCAGCAGGGGAATTCGGTAGCAGCATTAACCTTGCCTGGGGAAGATTGCCATCCCTTTTGCTATTGTTATTTTCAGTAAGATGCCATTGTCATGTTGCTGCAACTCAGCAGAGGTCTTTAAGAGTTCAGGGTTAGACTCCTAAAGATGGAAAACCCTAAATGGAAGAAGTAATTACTCCAGGGAATAAAAGGAGAGTCTGCCTCCATCCATAATGATAAACACATGACACCCTTCTCCCAGATCTTCTCACTTTCAGTTCGGGGACCTGGAGTCAAAGCACTGGCAACACTGAGTATAAGACCAGCATCTTCCTGGACTCTGCTGTGTCCACAGGCTCCTGCCAGGGTCTGCGATGGGCTGCTCTTAAGGGATATGTCCCCCACAGCACCCCCCAGGCCACCAAACACACCTGGGCAGAGGCCGCACAGGTTGCACGGTTCAAACCAGTGCTCTGTTTGCCTCAAAGTTGGGGCTGCCAAGATCTCTTTTTAAGATCAAATAGTTGCATTTTCACAAATTATGTCAGTAAGGAATTCCTGAAGAGGCAAACTGCCTTCTAAACAAACACTCTATGTCTCTGGGGGCCTTAAAGCCAGGCGCATCATGTGCTGTCAGGCAACATAAGGGGATTGCTCTTCACTGACAGTCTCCAATCCTGTTGCTCATGTCCTATCTGCAGCAGAGAAGCTGACTCTGCTGGCTGTAACTTCTATGTAGACTGATGAATTGCACGTGAACTTGCTTTTTTGCAGTCAGCTTCGCAGTGCACTTGGAAGCAGGCTGCAAGCCACAGTTTGAAAGCTGTCTTATTTCTATGGTTTCTTTATTCTCATTTCTGATCCCTCCTTCCTTTCTCCCAACTCCTCTGCATTTTTAATTTGTTTTTCTCTTTTTCTTTCATGCTTTCTGTGGCAACAGGACAAAGTAGCCTTCAAACCTGCCCTCCTCCCACCTTCTCCCCACACGTCTTTCTACTCCTTCCTCACTTCTTCATTGTTAGGAGCAACCCCAAGTCAATGCTGTGTCTGCACTCATGAATTAAAAAGAGGGCTTGAAAATGATTCTCAAACCTGACATGATTGCTTGGCTATTGTGCCCTATTGTCATCACAGTGTTGTACACAGGGCTGTAGCATCAGAGGTTTCTGATTCGTGTCATATGCACTGATGAAGAGCTTAGCTAGCCTAGTGATGTCATCAGCACTTCAGCAAAGAATTGCAGTTTTAAATGAGCCCATTTTAGCTCACTGCCTGTACTAGTAACTGCACTGGAAGGGCAGCAAGCAGTGTGCACCCCTGTTCCTGCAAAAGCAAGGTTTTCTCTGGGAAAGAGAGCTGCTGGTATTGACTTGACAGGACTGTGCTGGCTGCTGCAGGACAGATGGACGGACAGGCTGCCCTGCTTCTGCACAGCCAAGGGACTGCCACTGTATGGTGGTGTTATTGCTGGTCATTTCTCCTTCCATTCCTCACTTGGCGTAAAACTCATCGAGGCAGAGGTCTGACTGTTGGCATGGACACCTGTAGGAGGTGCTAAACATCTCTTCATAGATGGTCCCTATGCTCAGATGAGGCAAGAGTCCTGTCCTATCATTAATGCAGTGGGATGAAGAAGAAGACATATCACATCCTCATCCCAGACCTATTTTAGGCTTTCTTCTGTGACCTCGGGCAGCTCATTAACCTCTGTTTACCCATCTACACTATGACCATTTATCAGCCCTATCAGGCTGTGTGACAAGGTGGAATTTTCGCATTCCAGGCCCCAGTGCCAGTGAAACGACTGCTTGTGGTGCTCAGTGGAAGCTCATGCTCTCCCTTCCTGAACTGCTGGGCAGTCTGCTGGATTGTGTGCCATCCCATTAACACCAATGCCACCAGTAGGCCAAGAACAGTAGGCAAAGGCAAAAGCGTCCCAGATCCCACAAGAACTGAGTCTTCCACAGGGAAAGACTGACTGAGCCAGTGGGCAGTGAAATAGGATGTACAAGTTGCCAAACAGGAGGGAAAGGAGTCCCAGCCCTCCCGTTTGGAAACAGCTGCCTGTCTGCTTGAAGGGAGCTCCAACAGTCACAGTGAGCTACAGCTACATCCGAGCACAGGTGCCACCACCTCACAGAAAACACACAGACACCCAGCGAACACGTGGCTTCTTTATGAACCCACTCAGCTCCTCCAGTGCTACGCTGTTTGAGCTGTAATGAACAGAGCTTGGCTTCTCCCAGGGCTGTCCCCTCTGAGAAGAGACGGGTACTGACTCACATCAGTGGCACGG